CTCCGTGCGCCCGGCTCCCGGAGGAGCCAAGCGCCCGCGCGTCTTTACGCACCGGCTGGCACTTGGCCGCGCGGAAAGCTCGCTTGTTTGCGAGGGGCTGCTGGGAAACAGACGACACCCCCCACCCCACCTCCACTTCTGCCTGGAGATGCCGGAGGATGCTGGCTGCCGAGCATTGCCAAGAAAGCCTTCCCTCCATGCACTTTGGGGACCCGCAAGCAACCCTTCCATTTGAGAGCACCCCTTCTCTTCAAGGGCAAGGGCGGGATTTGAACCCAAGACTCTGTTCTCAGCGTGGGGAAGCCTTGTTCACTCTGTTCCTGGGACATGGCCGGCCCAATCCCTCAGTACCGACAGCGGAACAAGCTATCGAGAAATCTTAAAATAGGAAAAGCACTGGGAGAATGTAACTTTTGGTGAAGGTGTTTTCACCTCCAAGAGAAACCCACTGAACGAAAACATTTTACGAGGGTCGGGAGGTTTTTCGAAACCTGCAACCGAGCTACGCACGAACGCCCCAGAAACAATTAGCCTGCAAAAATGATGAGATCCAGATGCCCAGAAGAACCAAATATTTGGGGTTTGATGGACCAAAGTCTGCCTGGGATTTATTTCCCCACCTCCTGCCATTCTTCTCTTTCAAAGCGACAGCTCCTGAAAAAGAGGGTTGCCTAGACGGTCTTCCGCCAGAGAACCACAGAACCATGGCGTCGGAAGGGGGCCTCGAAGGCCATCCAGCCCAACCCTTTTCCCCAAGGCTGGCATCCGAATCCAAGCTGATCCGATATTCTCTTGACGGCCTCCAGCGTTGGAGGGCTCGCCACCTCCCCCTGAGGTCATGGGCCTCTCCTTGCCGTTCTACGTCTTCCCCGATATTCAGCCTGAACCTGGCTTCCTGTCGCTTGAGCTGGTGATGATGTGCCTTGCATCGTGGGATGATCAAGAACCACCACCACCACCCCGTGCCCCTCCGCTGAAGGACTATGAAAAGGGCCCCATCATCTCCCCTCTGCCTTCTTCTTTCAAGGCTTAAACCTGCCCAGTTCTTTCCGTCTTTCCTCCTTATAGGGCTCGGTTTCCAGCCCTCTGATCCTCCCTGAGGTCCTTCTCTGAACTCGCTCTAGTTTGTTGGCCTCCTTTTTTTCCAAGTGTGGTGTCCAGAAATGGACACCGGACTCCAGAGGAGGCCTCGCCATTGCCGAATAGAGGAGACCTTGTATCTCATGGGATTTGGAGATAAGACTTCTGTTAATGCAGCCTAAAATCGCCTGGGCCTCTTTTGCAGCCGCCTCACACTGTGGGGCTCATGTTCCGCTTTTGATTTACAACAAATCAAAGAACCTTCTCACTTGTAATATTACCAAGCCAGGTATCCCCCTCTTTCTTTTTCATTGGGTGTAGAACTTGGCTCTCATCCCTGTTCAACGTTTCATTCAAAGTGTGGTCTGCTGTCAGCAGCCAATCAGGAAAGCCAAGAGGGGGACCAGCCTGGCTTCCAGTGGGAGGGAGTTCCAAAGTCTGGAAGCAGCACCAACAGAGGCCCCTCCCTTTGTACCCACCAGGCGCACCTGGCCACATATACATGTATAAATATACACAGACAGACACACACCCTGAACGCAGGACTGTAACAACAGCAATTTGCTCATCGTTTTTCCTGTTATTACCTAAGAGGCCCTCAAAAAAAAAATGACCTCATGTTTGCAAAAGTGTAATGCTAACATTGTGCTTTAAAAAAAGTTTCACTGTCTAAACAGTTCAAGAGAAATCAGCCTGCAAGTCATCATCCCTCACAGAAACTGGTCCTCTATTTCCACTGACTATAAACAGTCTTCCTGGAGAGAAAGGGAGTTTGGTAAGAGCAGCCCTTAACCGGAAAGGCATCCTTGGATGAGAGAAGGCCAAGACGTACAAAGCGAAGGCTGCACCTGCTCAGAGCAAAAAGGCTTTCAAAGTTCTGCCCCCTGCCAGCCAACATCCCACCCCCCGTGTATCGAGGAAAGCTGTATTTTGTATTTTGAGCAAATCTGCATCATTTCCCTTTCTGCTACGGCAGGATACGTGCCACTTTTCTGAGCCACAGAGAATGCTTACATTCCTTACACAGGGTCACGGAAATCCTGCCAGACCCTAAAAGCCCCTCCATCCTGCTCTTTCTGAAGTTCTGCTTCATCAACGTTGTGTAATTTTAAAAAAACCCAATTTTAAGAAACGTACACTGAGCCATTTCAGTGGCCATTTCTGTGGCCACTTTACTGCCACGGCCGTCTTGCCCTTAGCCTGCATTTTGGCCCAGATTTTAAAATAAGTACGGATGTAATAATGTACAATAGGACCCTCGTCTCTGTGGGATCCGTATCCAGTATCCACTGATTCACTTATCCACGGTTTGAAAATATTAAAAGAAACATTCCCAGAAATATATATTTCTAATGATGAAGTCGCCAGAACTGGCCACAAACTCTCCCCCAGCATCACATTTCAAGCAAATCCAATTTTTCCCCTGTCACCTTTAACTGTCCAGCTATCCCAGCTTTCTTGTGAATACAAGAATGTGGATGATCTTGGTCTTTGTCTCCAATGACGCATCCTTACACTTGACGATCTTCTTCAACAGCCTTCAACGCTGTTTTTCCAAGTCTCCCCCCGATTTCTTTGGCCGCGTTCTCCCTTTGGATGGATGACTTTATTTATCAGCCTTATTAATTCCTTTCCCCTCTCGCCTCAGATACGCGAGGCACCATCCATAACAATTAAGGCAATGAAAGCCATCAAGAGCAAGCGCCGAAAACGCTCAAGTAAACAACGGTGAAGAAATTAACCAGACTCCCCTTGAGGGCAGTTCTGTTCTTACCAGCGGAGACACCTGGACTCGGACGTCACTGGTTTCCAGCGGGCAGTCGCTGGGCCCTCCGGCGGGCTTCCTTTCTGAAACGGGCTGGTCGCCCCTGGATTTACTAGACTTGGCCGGAAGCGACAAGAACTCTTTCTCACCCATGTTGAATTCTCCCATGGGGTAGGCCTCGCCGTTCTGGTCCTGAGAAGAGCAAAAAAATGGTTGCTGAGCAGAGAGAGACACACACACACCCCAATGGAAGAGAGGGGCCACCATAAAGCCTTAGGTGAGCAAAGGAGGAGGTAAAAGAAATTCATTCATTCATTCATTCATTCATTCATTCATTCATTCATTCGTTTTACTATACCACCCATCTCGCCACCCTGAGGCGGTTGACAACACTGAACACTAAACAGGAAGCAGACATCCTAAAAGTGGACGTAATAAACCAACGCTTCGAAATGAGCATAAAAACACAAATACAAAGCATCACCAAAAAAAAAATAGAATACAAAGCCATTTGAAGACAAAAAGGGGGAATGGCCTTTCTACATATTTTTCCGGAACGCCGACGGGCTTTCCAAGAAGCACAGAGAGAGGGCAGCCTCCCGGGAAGGAAGAGACTCCGATCCAAACATTTCCAGGAGAGGCTTAGCGTGTCGATCCTGGGCTGCCAAAGAGAATCAGATAATCCACAGCAATTCGTTTTCCCAAGTTGTCACGGAGTAGGGACCACTCGCCAAGATTAAACCAGGCCTTCTCTGTGGTGGCCCCATCGCTTTGGCATGCTCTCCCGTCAGAGGCTGCAACTGGCCCCATCCTTCCTTGCTTTCAGGAGGCAACTGAAGACCTGGCTGTTCTCCTAGGGCTGTTGGCAAATCTTTGACACCAAGTCCCAAGTCTGAGTCTTCGTTAGGAGGCAACTGAAGACCTGGCTGTTCTCCTGGGCTGTTGGCAAGTCTTTGACACCAAGTCCCAAGTCTGAATCTTTGGTCCCAAGTCCCAAGTCCCTATTAAAGACAAGCTTCCCCACCCCCCAGAAAAAATGGGAGGGTTGGGTCGGTTCTGAGTTGGGAGTCAAGTCGAAATTATTTGGAGGATAAAAACCCAAGTCAAGTCTGTGTTGAGTTACGGGTGCAACTCAAGTCTGACTTGACAACGAGTCCCATAACTCCAGTTCCCCCCTCCATGGTTTTCACAAGCCTTTCACAGCCTCAAACCCAGATTCATTTTGATCAATTTTGTTTTTCAACTTGTTCTACTTTGAGCCTGTCAATCCCTCTCTGCCGGCCGCCTCCTATTTTTTGCCAAATTATCATCCTTTTCATAGGATCATCCTTGTAGGGGTCACGCTTCTCATGAGACCTTTTGTTTGGATTTTTATTGTGTTGCTTCTCTTCTTTTTATATCACGTTGTTTTGACCTTGCTTGATTAGCCTCCCAAAGCAGAGGCTCTTGACACTCCTTGGGCAGCCGAGAAAATGTAAATAAATGAATGAGTGAATACACGAAGGCCTCCCTCACAGACCACATCAAGGCTGGCCTTGACTTCCTTCTCTCAGAAAAGAAGGCAAGAACAGGCGCTCATAAAATAATCCGGAGATATAAGGAATGGGATTGGCTGCCTTTTTCTCTCCCGACATTATTATTCCAGAAGAAACAGAAACCATGCCCCCTTCCTTGGTCTTCTCAGCTCCTCCAAACTCCCTCTCTCCTTAATCCCCTTCATTCTACAACCACCCGCTAATTGCGGATCTTTCTGCTATAAAAAGGCGGCCAGCAGGAAGCTGTGAGTCCAGATCTTTAAGCTTGTAGGGCAAACCCCAGGAGCTTCTGATCCCTTCTGACAACAACCTTGCCACCCTCCTCGGTCGACCAACCTTTTCAGATGGGAACCTCAAGAGATGAAGGCTGCTCATGCTGTCCCTCGGAGGAGCCCTCTTCGGCCTGGCGCCTGAAAAAAGAACGGCCGTATTAGCCTTTTGGAGTGAATTAATTGCCTCTCTCTCTCTCCCCCTTTCCTCCTACACATCCACAGCCCTCCTCTTGCGTGTTCTCTTCTTCAATCCTGTGAGGACGCTCAGGTTGAGCCTCACTCGCCCAGGGTCACCGAGGGAGTGTTCGTGGCCACTGGATTCCCAACACCCCGGATTCCCACTGCCCCCTAGAGTCGGACACGACTGGACAAAAATTGTCAAGGGGAACCTTTACCTTTACCTTATTACTCTCCCCCTTTCCTCCTACACGTCCACAGCCCTCCTCTTGCGTGTTCTCTTCTTCAATCCTGTGAGGACGCTCAGGTTGAGCCTCACTCGCCCAGGGTCACCGAGGGAGTGTTCGTGGCCACTGGATTCCCAACACCCCGGATTCCCAATGCTCTCACGAGGTCACCACTTTGACTCTCGTTCACGCCAACCCTTTTGGAAGGGCTAATCTGCACAGCGCCTTCGTTCCGGGTCAATTGGGGCCGTTCCTGAGTTGCTCATGACCGTTGTTCCGAGTTGACCATCCCAACATCTGTGTCCAGACTAGAGATGGGCACGAAAAGCCGATTCGTTGGTTCGCGCTACTGGACGAAACAGGTTTTTTTGGTGCTTCCCAGCCCCACCTCCTTCTCCCGGGGCCCATTTCCTGTGAGGACGCTCAGGTTGAGCCTCACTCGCCCAGGGTCACCGAGGGAGTGTTCGTGGCCACTGGATTCCCAACACCCCGGATTCCCAATGCTCTCACGAGGTCACCACCTTGACTCTCGGTTCACGCCAACCCTTTCGGAAGGGCTAATCTACACAGCGCCATCGTTCCGGGTCGATTGGGACCGTTCTTGAGTTGCTCATGACCGTTGTTCCAAGTTGACCATCCCAACATCTGTGTCCAGACTAGAGATGGGCACGAAAAGCCGATTCGTTGGTTCGCGCTACTGGACGAAACTGATTTTTTGGCGCTTCCCAGCCCCACCTCTTCCTCCCGGGGCCCATTTCCCGGGGCCAACTCAAGTCCCAGGCGGCAAAGCGCCTGTAGCCAGTCTTGCTATGAGCCCGTTGTTACCATAGTAAACATGAGAAAATAAGAGTCCGTCTTTTTCCCCCCCCAGGCCACAGGAAAAAAGTTTTGAAACAATCCTTAACCCAGGGTTACATCGCTAAAATCAACACCATGTGCCATTTGCCGTAGCCAGCAGTCTCCGCTTTAAAAAAAAAGGCCAACTCAACCTTTACTCCCTGCTCTCCCACAAGAAAGAAATATAAATAGGGATCTTCTGTTTTCTCCATGGGTTCAAGAGCCAAGCCCGAATCTTTGGTACCAAGTCCTTCTGAAAAAAAAAGTCCATCCCCCACCCCGGAAAAAAGGAAATGATGGGTGGGTGCCAAGTCCCCAGGGGAGTCCGAGGCTTTGACAGCCGGTCCCGTGACTTGAGTTCCCCTCCCTGGTTTTCTCTTGACCGGGAATCTGTTAATCTACTTACTCGAGAGTCGAAAAGGGCCTCCTCGGTATCGTTACAGAGGGCTCAGAAAGAAGCATCAGCCTCCGGCTAGTTATTTCTTGGCACTGCTCTTTTCCCAGTCCTTCCCCGGTCACTTGTGTTAAGTCAAAATAAATCTCGCCTTTCTCCTCACCTCCGTTTCCCGAGCTGAATCGCCTCTAACACATGCAAACTCATGTCTTAGAGGCGATTCAGCTGGGGGGGGGGGAGGAAGAGTCCCATGCTCGATTGTGAGCTCTCCGCCCTTCTGGGCCCCCACCGCCACCCTCCCACGTCGTAGAAGAGATCCCGCATGTTTACCAAAAAGCGCAGCAGACAAGCAGAAAATCTTCAGGGGCATTTCTAAATGCTGGCTCTGTCTGAGGAATCTCAAGGTCTCTAATCTAGCAAGCTGGAACTTCCCGGAGAACATCAAGTGAATAGCCCTAGTTGACTGGCATTATTCATCCCTGCCGTTTAAAAAAAAGTAAATAAACGGTTTGGGTGCGTTGGAAGATGCTTTGAATCATCCAATCATTTAAGAAATTGGTATTTTCTTCCTCTCTCCCTCCATCTCTTCCTTATTCCCCATTTTTTTTCAGCCTCTGCCCTTTTCCGCCTGGGGGCAGGGAAGACTCTTGTGATGGGAAAAATGAGCAAATAAAGTGTTTTAAAGCTCAGAATTGTGCCGATTTACTTAATAGTTAAATATGACTGTGTTAAGAGAACTTGTTGTTCTGTGCCGTCAACTTGGAACCAACTCGTAGCGACCCTAGCAGGGTTTTCAAGGGAAGAGAGACATTTAAGGAGTGGCTTGACCAGTTCCAAACACCCCCCAGTGACCGAGTGGGGATTCGAACCCAGACCTCCAGAGTCCTGGTCCATTATTCTACCCACTACACCACCCTGGGTGTGTGTGTGTGTGTGTGTGTAAATGGCCCGTCCCTCTTCGTTTGAAGGACTGGGGTTTGACCTCCCATCCACAGCTGCCTTGACCGTAACTTTAAAACAACAGCGCTAAGGCGGCTTGCCTCATTCCTGACTTACATCTAAGAGTAACTTTCCTAGTGAACTCCATCTTGTAAAGAACTTTGGGGCTTTACATCTAAGAGTAACTTTCCCGGCGAAACCCCTCCTGCCACGAACTTCGGGACTTTTCGGTTCTTCCCACCGGTACCCGTCTGACGAAGTGGTCCCGACTCACGAAAAGCTGGCAGACTGTATGATGATTTCTTAATTTTCCCCCCCAGTGGTCACCCTTCTCTTGCATTGGTGCTTTGCACTGACCAGACACGGCTCCCTTTTTATTTCAACGTACTTAAAGCTGAGTTTCTCTGCTCCGTTTCTCGAAACGGAAGAATGAGGAGGAGGGCCCCGTTTTGGGCACAGAAGCAAGAACCCATCGCAGGCGGAGAAGGAGAGCTTCGGAGGCCGTTACTGAGATGAACAACGGGGGCCTTGTTCTGCCCTCCCCCCCCCAGGTACTCTTAGCGGGTGGAGTCGGCTGGCTTTGGTCTCCTCGGAGGAGGGCAAACAAGGTGGACAAAGATTTCACTGTAGCACCACGGCCGGACATAAAACAACACAGTGTTCCAAATTAAAACAAACTTAGATTCAATAACAAGGATATAAACAAAGAGGCAAAACAAGCAGCAATAAGTAAAAAGCACAAAAAGGCAGATACTCTCACTGCCTCAGAACTAAAAAAAAAGATCACAAACCCCAGAATTTGTCCTTCTGAAAACTAAACCCAAGGACGTCAAGCCATGTTGGACACTGGCCGTTGTCCTTCTTTCCTCCTCTCTAATGGGGCCCTTCCTTTCTTCTCGGCCATTTAATTTTTTGAACGTTCGCTTACATGTTGTACTTCCGATTGGAACCTGTCTCCTCTTGAGAACCCAGCCCTCGCTATTGCCGTTCCTGCCTATAATCACTTCAGATCAAGAGCAAAGCTTTATCTACACAGCTTACAATCCAAGCAGATGCCTTCAACCGCCTCCTCAAGTACTCCATTCAAGGTTAAAGCGCCGTCCTTTACACACTCCTACCCAAATGGACTCTGAAGGATAGTCCAACAATTTCCCCCTGGAGTGAATACAATGAAAGATCCCGGAAGAACGGGACTCACCCTGAGCTTCGTAGCTAGCGCCATATGTTGGCGGATCCGGGCCATTCCCTCTGTTTTTCAAGCCCAAGACTGACCTCAGAAGGGCAATGTTGGCGTGAGCCGTTGCCTCTCCACTGTGGTCCCCAATCTGCAAGTCGTGAGACAACATTTTGACTTTTAAGTAAATGTGTATACAGGAGGGCCACGTAGCCACCAGATCAGTATCCACAGATTCCCTTTATCCGCTGGCTGGAAATGCTAAATAAGAAAACCCCAGAAATATCTATCTATATGTATTTACGGGGTGAATTGACAAGAACCGGCCAGGAGGCCAGAGACCATGCAATATATAACATTCGACGTTTCTGCATTTTTCAAGCATCTGCAGGGAAGGGGGCTTGGAACCCGCCCCCCCATGGATACCACGGTCCTATGCCCCCCCCTCACATATATTTACCTCCTGGGAGATTTCCAGATGCTTTTCGGCAAAATGTAAAGCTCGTTCGTGGTCCCCGAGGGAGATGAAGGCATTTTGCAAACTCCAAAAGGCTCGGCCTTCCCCCAGTCTGCATCATCCGAAAGCCATCAGTAAGGGAGATCAACACACGCGAATATTCGATCAGAAATTTGTGCTGTAACATGCCTCCATTTCAAAAGCGAAACACACACACACTCCGGTGCCCTGTGAAGTTTAGCTCTTGCTAATAATCTAGAAAAAAACACATCTGAAATGCACCAGTCCAGTTCTATAATTTTAAAACCACCTGGAGAAGCTTCAGAAGTGTTTAATTTAACTTTAGGAAAAAATGATGCCATCAATAACATCCCATAGTTCCCGCCCTAAAGCTGGGAGCGTGTTCCTCTAAATCGAATCTTTGTCTCCCTCCAGTGGCCTCAAAAGGCTGTATATTCCGAATTATTCTCAAAGGAAGGAGAGAAAAACCTTTGACCTAAAGCAAAAAATAAAATAAAATAAAAATCTGCCTTATAAGGCCCACGGGAGATTCGGATGTTCATTACCGAATTATTCTCAAAGGAAGGAGAGAAAAAACTTTGACCTAAAGCAAAAAATAATAATAATCTGCCTTATAAGGTCCACCAGAGATTCTGATGCTCATTGTCTTGTTGCTCCTGCTCTGTTATCTATAGCCTGGGATTAATTAAGACACCAATCAGTGTCATTGTTTACTGAACAAAACTTCCCGGAAGGGGAACGGAGCGTCAACGGACTCTTGCTGGCCGTAGCCATCCACAACTGGGGGTCCTGCCTTGAGCAAGGGGGTTGGACTGGATGGCCTTAAGGTCCCCCTTCCAACTCAACTTTTCTAGGGTTCTACGGCCTCTTCCGGGCTAGAACAGAAAAGCGGCTCTTGCCGGAAACAGAATCCAAGCCCGAATCCACGCTCACCTGTCTCCAAGCTCCCGGGCGATGCCGAGGTGCTTCAGGTGGTACTCGACCGCTTTCTCGTAGTCTTCCAGGAGAGTGTAGGTGTTCCCGAGGCTATAGCATGCCTGGGCTTCCATCACAGGGTCCTTCAGTTGCCGGGAGAGCTGCAGGGTCTTCCTGCGTGTCAGAAATAAAGGCGGGCAGCTTATCAATCGGAAACAAAGACTCGCAATCCCTTTCCTTCTTGCCGAGACAGAAGGACCATGGTATCCGGTGGGGGGGGATGGGATCCAACCCCCGCCCTCCGTGGATGCTGAAAAATGCAGAAGTATCAAACACTATCCATTGCAAGGTCTCTGGCTCCCTCTCGTGGCCCGTTCTGGTCCATGGGCCCTGGAAATACATATCAATAGGATTTCCCGGAGTTTTGAGTTTAGTATTTGCAGCCGGAGAATATGGGAATCAGTGTGTGTGTGTGTGTGTCTCACACCGGCGGCAGGCCACTTACTTGTAGTATTCGGCGGAGATGTCAAACCTCCCCAGAAAGATGTGCGTGTTCCCCAAATTGCTGTGCGCTCTCCGCTCGGCGGCTTTGTCCCCAAACTCTTTGGCAATGGCGAGTCGCTGGAAAGGACGGAGGCAGATCCGTTTCGATGTGGCCGCAACCCTACCTCTTGAGCGGCCCCACTTCCCTTCTGCCGCCCCCCCACCGCCCCCAGAGCCCCAACACGGGCAAGGCAACCGAGAGGGCAAAGCTCACCCCACCCCCCAGCTGGCCCTCAGTGCCCGGGCAGCACCCGTTTGGCACGACGGAGGCTATAAAGCGAACTTCTGCCGTTGGTGTCTCTCCGTGCAATTTCCTCCGTTCGGTCCCGGTGGAACGCACAGCATCTGCCCGTCTCTGGAAAGCGTCCACCCCTCCCCACGTTCACTTTTCAGCAGTTGGCCGTTTTCCTTGGAAGCTGCAAACCCCAACCCGCCCCTCCCCAAAGAAATGCCAGGAAAGGCCAACCGATGCCGGAAACACGACCCAGCGTCACCTGCTTATGGAAGATGATGGCTTTGCTGAAGTTGCCGAGCAAATAGTGCGTGTTGCCCAGATTTCCGTAGGCCCGGCCTTGGGCCGCTCGGTCTCCCAGCTCCTTCACCAGAGACAGATTCCGCCTGCAAGAAGCCAGTCACAGAGGTGGGCACGTCTTCCCTGCCATGTGGGGCACATTCCTTTTATTTATTTATTTCTCTATACCTATTTCTTCCATGCAATGCCCCCCACCATCACTTCTTCCCTATGCTTCCCTGAGACAGCACACAATATCCTTAGCCCTTATTTCCAACCATCGTACAACCGTTGGCAAATTAAAAGCCACAGCAAGCCCCCCCTATCCGCGGGATCACTATCCACTGATCCACTTTAAGGAGTGAATTATTTTTTTTAAAAAAAGTAATGCGCCAAGTTCTGATGGAGGTGATAGGTCTAGGAAGGCCCCCTCTATCTGCGGGATCAGTATCCGCTGAAAAACACTAACGAAACTGCTGATATGTTCTAACAACTTAACATATTCTGTATATCCTATATAAAGTTTTTATCTTTGTATTTTCGGGTCTATGACTGTATAATAATAAAACAAATACTAACAAAACCCCAGAAATCTCTATGTCTACGTATTTCCAGGGTGTATTCGCCACAACTGGCCACTCGAGGGAGACAGAGAGCAGGCCATGGATAGCATTCAATACCTCCACGTTTTCGGGCATCGGGGTGGGCGGGCTTGGGACCAATCCCCCGTGGATAAAGCAGTCCTGCGGTCCTTCTTACTCACTCGTAATACTCGGAGGCCTTCTCTAATGACTCCCGGACCTCCTGAGGCAGTTGGCCCGGCTCCTGCAGCAGACTCCAGGAAAGCTGCTTCCCTTTGGCGTGGTAGACGTTGCCGATGTTATATAAGGCTCGCGCTTCTCCCACCTGCAAAGAAGAAGACTCGTTTTGTAAGTTTTCTTTCCAGCCCCTTCTCCCCAAAGGCCACGGCCCCACCTCTTGGCATCTCCTCAACGCAGGGTTATCCAGGTCTTGGCCACGTTTTGCCCGAGGATCGGTCCGAAGCCCCACCCTTGCCGATACTCAAAAACGCGGATGATAGAGAACGCTACGCCTAGCATTGCTCTCTGGCTCCCTCTCGTGGCCAGTTCTGGTAACGTCAGCTTTAGAAATCGATATTTCTAGGGTTTTTCTTTTAATATTTTTCAGACCGTGGATCAGTGAATCAGTAGAGATTGAGCCCGCAGATAAAGGCGGTCCTACTGTATGTATGAGGTAATCCTAAGAAGTTCCTCTATAATTTCCTAAATAATCTATTCTGAGCACAAAATTGGGGAGAGAGGAAAAAGTTAATGCAAGCCACAGATGTGAAATAAAATGATTTGGGGGGGGGCATCCACCTTTCTTCATCAGAAGGTATTTCTATGATTTTCCAGCTGGCTTGCCCTGTTCCTCTAGACCCGTTCTGAGTGCCAGGCAGAGACACACACACACCCTTCCCCAATACCTTGTCTCCTTGCTCCTGAGAAATCTCCAGGTGCCTCTGGCAACAGACAACCGCATCGTCAAACTGCCCAAGGATCTTCAAGGTGTTTCCGAGGTTGCCGCTGGCTTTCGCTTCTCCCAGGCGATCCCCGATGGTTCTAGGAAAATAACCAGAAGATTCCCAGCGTTTCCTAGTAACCTCGTGGGAATTGGAGACTAGACTTCTGTTCACACATTCTAAAAAATCACATTGGCCTTTTATGCAGCCACATCACACTGTGGGCTCGCGATCTGCAACCGTTCCAAGATCCTTCTCGCCCGTAGTGTTACTGAGCCAAGGATTCCCCCTCCCCCCAAGAAATCATCAGAAATCATGGCACTGTTCTAGATTCAGGACATTTACCTGGCAAGGATGAGGTCATGTTTGTGGTACTCCAAAGCTTTGGTATATTCCTTCAGGTAGAAATAAGCGTTCCCCAGCTGGCTGTAGATGGCACTCAGCGTTTTCAGCTCTTCCGTCCCCACCTGAACAGCGGTTTCAAAGTACACGACGCCAGCTTTAAAATCCCCGGCTTTGCACGATCGCTCTCCCTCCAGGGCTAACTCCAAGCATGAGGACTCCATCCTGTTAAAAAAAGAAAAAGAAAAAGTATATTTACTGGGGAGTAAGCGCTACTGACCACCCTGGGGCTTCTCAGCAGACACGGAGAGAATCCACATGGTCTGCATTTGAAGAACGTTCAGGAAAGGAGGTCTACGCCACAGGGCTGTTCTGAAAACATTCATGTGCATTCCCGAGAAAATAATTTGCAGACAATACGTTGAATTGGCTTTACTACGTAATTTTGAACAACGCTGAGTGCACATCGTGGATTTTATTTGCTGTAATCAAATACTGAACGATATTTTTTATTTTTGGCTCCTGAAACATTGTTCAGAGACTTACAAGGGATAGAATTAAAGGCTAATATCCACGTGGGAGAAAACTATGCTCGGACGGGCAATCCTATAACATTTAGAATCCTAGGATGATGGGGTCGGAAGGGGGCCTCGAAGGTCATCGAGTCCAACCCCCTGCTCAGGGCTGGGACCCAAATCGAAGCAGATCGGGTGGAGGGGGGTGTCCAGTTTTCTCTTGAAGGCCTCCTGCGTTGGAGGGCTTGCCACCTCCAGAGATCCTATGGGTCCCGTTGTCCTATGGCTGCACTGCAAGGTCACCGTAGGGAGCACGTCACTGACGCAGAAATTAGAGCCCAGGAATAAATCTCTGTGCCATAAAATCGAATTTTGGAACCCAAGCAGCATTCCTGCCAGCTGCCTCTCCAGGCTAAGCGCCCTGCTCCCCCCAGAACAGCCAGGCCGATTTCTACGGGAAACCCACATGTCGGCCTTGGAGAGAACAGCTTCCTTGCGCTGCTGTTTCTTAGCAACTGTTCCTTGGAGAGGCAGGCCTCCTCTCAACCGGATTGCGGCACATCTCGGCCATGAGTTACAGCCAGGTATTGGCAGCCTTTTCTTTGAATCGGTCGGATCTCTAGTGGCCGCTCAATGCGTGCCTTTGGCACCCTGCCTCGAGTCTTGTCTTGTTACAGAATCCCAGACCTACCTATAATGGAGCGAACGGATGCTCATCATCGCCTCCTCCCTCTCCTAGTCATTCAAGGCCACGAGACGTGTCTGTTGCCAGGGGTGCAGCCGCTGGAGTAGCGCATGAATCTTCTGTTTCCTACAGAGAAGATAGCTACCCTTTTTTTCCTCTCTATTTGGATTGCAAGAAGATGTGCTGCAAGAAGATGTGTTCTAATCCTTCCCCCTTTCTTTCTTTTTTAAGGTTTCTGCTAACCAGTTGGCTCCTGGATTAGGGAAAAGACAGGATAGAAATGGAATGGAATAAGAAGACTTCGGGACAACCGCTCCTTCCCAAGGCTGCATTAAATAAAGCCCCCCACAACCCCAACGGTGAAGGGCTGTTTGGAAAAGAGAAGACGGAGGGGACAGAGGAGAGCCCTTTTCAAAGCCTTGCAAGGCGGTCCTCCAGAGGAGGGGCAGGATCGGCTCTCCATCATCCCAGAGGACAGGGCCCGTCATCATGGGCTCAAAATATAGGAAGCCAGATTTCGGGCGAATAGCAGGAAAAAAAATTCTCAACTGTTAGAGCAGTACAACGAGGAGGTGGTGGTGAGCGTTCCAGAGCAAGAGGCCTTCAAGAGAAAATGGGACCACCTTCTGTCCGATTTGCTTTGAGTTGGGTTGCCGCCCTGAGTGGGGGTTGGGACTGGATGGCCTTTGGGGGCCCCTTCCAGCTCCACCGTTCTGTGCTTCGTCACATGTGAACCTGCTTGCATTCCGAAACCACGTCTCGAGGCAGCTTGCTGTCCATCCTGCCTACCACCTGCAGCGAGGCAGGCAACTCCCCAGGGAAAGGGCCTTTTTGGTAACGGCACCTCCCTTGAAGAAAAACGGTTTCCAAAGGGGACAACTGATTTTTAAATGTGCGGGCACCCCATCCTCTGCACTTCTTTCTTTTCTTCTCCTCAACATTGAATTTGTCACATGCGTTTGCGAGCCGCGTGGCTGCATCTTCTTCTCTTTTTGGTCTGCTGCGGTTCACAGCATTTGCAACTTGATGTCCTCGTCATCTCTCCCTTTTCTTCTTCTTCTTTTTAAATTTTCCACTGCACGGAAAACTCAGAGCCGAGCAAAAGAGCTGGGTGCGAAGCGGCATGGACACCGATTGAATAATCGGGGATCAATTGCCACCCCGAACCCATTGACCTCAATCAGCTTCTGGCTGCTTTGAGCAAACACCGCCCTGGACAGCCAGCAGCAAAAGAGGCACATGACGAGTAATTAATCAGTTATGCAAGCAAGCGCTCCAGAGAAGAAGGGGGGGGGCGCTTCTAGGGAGCCAGGTTGCCAAGGTCACTGGGCAGGGAAGCATTTTTAAAAACCAAACATCTGGTACATGTGACCGAACCCCATGGCCAACATGGACATATTTTTAGAAGCCAGCTGCAGAGGTTCTCCAGTCCATCATCCCCACAAACGAGGCTGCCATCGGTCCTGCTTGTCTCACTTCAGCGGTGCTTCTGCAGCCGGAATTTTCGGGTGGCCAGGTCCCCAAAAGACACAGGCGTCTTCTTGACTACAGAAGCTGACCAGACAGGCTCCGTGCAAGGAAAGCCTCCCGCTCCAACACTCCTAAGAGCATCAGGAAGCCCCCGGGGGCAGAGGGGACCACTGAGGTAGGTGGAAGCCTCACTTCTGTCCTTCAGCACAGGTGAGCATCTGGGGTGCCCTTCATCCACCGTTCAGCATCTGCAACCTCTGGACCCTGAGCTCATGGCAGCCCCCACCGCCGCATCAAGAAATGGTTGCTTCACCGCCATGGCAGTGTTGCCACCTCTTCAGCCCCCAACACCCGGGCAAAGTAAAATATTCCCAACTATTCCGAGGTCAACTCAGAATCTAGGCTCACAGAGTCGCCACCTGCTCCACGCAAGAGTTCTTGGCGGCCGCAGCGCCGAGCGCTGTGATACACGGCCGTTCGATGTCTCTCACATGCAGAGAAGGGTCAGAAAACGGCGGGGATGCTCAGCCACGCTTCGCATGCCCCCCACCCCACGCCGCAAGAAAAAAAATGGGGACGCCGAGGCAGGAGTCTGCAAAGACCAGCTGGCTCTCATCAACGCCGCCTTGATTGCAGAGGCCTCTTTGCCAAGCGCCGGCTGCCAGGAAACGATGCCTCTCATCCGGGCTGGAACGCTCTGTTCAGGCCCTGCACATCCGTCCACATCGCATGTGGTCGGACTCTGCACCACATAATGATAGAGGACGGCTTCTCCCAGTGTCTCCTCCCTGCGGTGCTCAGATCCAATCCGGGCAGTTCGTGACGATAAGAGCCTGAACCACTTTTCGCCCCCTGGCCAAGCAGGGTCTGCCGGCATCCGAAGGCACCCAATGCCCTCCAGCCTGGTCCCCTTCGCCCACCTGTGGTTCCAGAACTGGGAGGACCTTCCCTGCTCGAACAGGGACATAGTTTTTTCCCCAGTTATAGCAAATCTTGGATGCAGGAATGAGAAAGAACTTAAAAACAACACACCCCTGAGCATTTATTATTATTTTGCACTTCAATCCTGCTTTTCCTCCAAATATCTCAGGATACTTGACTCTCCTTCCACCTGCTTTTACCTTCACGCCAACCCTGTGGAGCAGATTCGAGAAGGGTGGCCCAGGATCACCCAGTCCTCCATAGGGACTGGCGTTGCATCTCCCAAACGACAGTCTGACGCTGCCTCGCAAGTAAATCCTATACATTGCATGTTTTCTGGCTCCCTCTCGTGGCCAGTTCTGGTAATGTCATCATGGAAATATATTTCTCTAGCCAATGCTATATATCCATGGTCTCTGGCGCCCTCTCGTGGCCTCTTCTGGTAATGTCATCTTTAGAAATCGATATTTCTAGGATTTTTCTTTTAATATTTTTATACCATCGGTAAGTGAATCAGCGGACGCTGATCCCGTGGATAAGGGGGTCCTGCTGCATAATCGTTAGACTTCAAGGTGCCACAACACTTTTGACTTTTCAAAAAAAAAATTGCCTGATACTGTAGCATAAATTAACACAGCAGCTATATCTTCTAAAACCAGAGTTTGTTCTTGGCTGGCAAACTGAAGGTTGTTTGCGAGCAACAAGTCACGGACCAAGGAGTGGATGACTGGATAAATTTCTGGTTCCTGGTTTGCTTGGCTCGCCTTTCAAGCGCCAAGAGTCACGCAGGCACAAAACAGCCCGCCTGTATCAGCACAGAAACGCATTCGTGATATGCCAGGGCCCACCAAAATTCAGGATTAGCGTTTGCATGAATGCCCCCCTTTCTTTCCTGCTCTCCCTGTACAACACATTTCCAGGAATGCTGGCAGGCTCACACTCCATGGACGGCTCCTCTACTATAATGCTTACTCTGTTCTTGGCTTACGTAGCAGCTTTTGTCCAAACCACCCCCACCCCCACCACCCGTATTCTGTATTAAAAAGCTCCCTTCTGAAACAGCCAAATATGCAAGAACGAAAAAAAAAACAGCAGGGAACTGGGAGAAGATCAGGAAAAACAAGTCGCGGTTAGTGGAAATGCGGGATTGGCACAAACTCGGATGATAAAACTACCCAAGAACTGGAATTCATAAAGGAAACTTTTATGTAATATGTACAAAAAAATGTGGATGCTTCAGCTCCTTGTAGAGCAAGTGTTTCAGCTCACAAGGTTGGGAGTTCAATTCCCCCCCCGGGGCATCCTGGACAGGGGCTGGAGCCCATGATCCAGAGGGTCCCTTCCACTTCTGCTGTTCTAAGAGGATGATGAAGGCAAGAGCCTCTTTTTTCTTTTGTGAAGTAGAACAGAAAGGGAACAAAACTAGGAAACATCTGGAGAGCCGCCCGCTTCCCAACGCTGCATTAAAGCCCGGCCACCACAACTGTGAAGGGCTGTTAAAAAAAAAGAAGAGGGAGGGGAGACAGGACAGCCCTTCTCAAAGACTTGAAAGGCCGTCCTCCAGAGGAGGGGCAGGATCTGTCCTCCAGCATCCCCGAGTTCAGGATATGCAGCCACGGGCTCAAGTGACAGGAAG